TTTCCCCTTTGGGTTTTAGGCACACACTCAGACATGCTTGACGTTTTTTGTTTGTTTGTTTCCAAGCTGCCTGGTTCAGAACTAGAATCATGAAGTAAGTCATGTGGGATTCAGCACCTTAACTATCACTCCACACACTGGCCCAAAATTTATTATATTTTTATTGTCAGGACAAAATGCCAGCTTGCCATAGACAAAAACACAGAGAAACAAAAGAAGAGGAGGAGAAAACTCTCCCAATGGAGTGTGGTCACACCACAATCGCTTCTCTTCCATTTCTCCATCTTTTCCAAACTCCATGTTGGGATTTTGAGCATACACATACAGAGAAAAGACACACATACACACATAGACACCCCTATTGCATTCCAATCTACCAGGGCAGGACATGACCATGGTCTACCATCTAGAATCCAGAAACCTTAATTATGAGGCTGTAGTGCTGACCCTAAAAGGTCTTGAAACACACAGTAGTGAAAATACAACATTCAGTAACCTTTGGGACACAGAAGAAGTAGTACTAAGAGTGAAGTTTATAGTAAATAGTGCTAAAAAAAAAATAGAAAAGTGGCAAACAAGCAACCTAACAATACATATCAAAGAACTGGAAAAACAAGAACAAACTAATCTCAAAGTTAATAGAAGAAAATAAGTTATAGAAATCAGAATAGAAATAAAGGAATTAGAAAACAAAAGATAATACAAAAAAAGTGACATGAAAACTGGTTCTTTCTTTTTCAGTTTGTGAAAGTTCAGACATGTTCATTTAACTAGAGCAACAGAGACAGAGGGAGAGAGAAAGGAAGTGACAGAGAGAAAGACAGTAAAAGTGAGAGAAAAAGAAAATGAAAAATTGAGCACCCATCTCCCATAGGACATGGTTATGCCATGTTACCTTCTCCTTCATTTCTCCCTCAATTCAGAATCTTTAGATGCATGTACATGCATCCTGTGTGTTTTACAACCTGCTGGGTCCTGGACTCAAACTACATGTTTGGACACGTAAGATCCAGCCATACTAACCACCAGGCCAGGGATTGCCCTCATAAACCAGTTTCTTGAGACGATAAACAAAATTGACAGTTAAATTAACTAGGAATAATAGGGAAGTGACAAAGAAAAATAAAATTAGGAATAAAAACAGAGACATCACAACAGATACCATAGAAATACAAAAGATCATTAGGGAATACTAACAGTGACTATATACTAATGAGATGGAAAAATCTCATAAATGGACAAATTTATGGATGCATATAGTATACCCAGACTGATAGAGAATGGCACAGAATGCCAAAGTAGACCAACACCATGTAAATAGATTTAATTAGCAATAAATAGCAGTTAGCGTAATGGCTATGTCGCTGGACTCCCACATAGTCAACAGCGGTTCACGTCCCAGATCCGGTGGCTTAAACTCATGCCGGGCGCATGTGCGTGCGTGCCCAAGATCCTGAGAGGAGAATAGAGGAGAAGGGATTGAAGCGTGGCCATCCCCCCTGGGAGATGATTTCTCGCTTTCTGTCTCTCTGTATCTCTTTGTCTGTCTGGTGAGCGCAAGCACCCTATAGCAAAAAACTCTCAAAAAAAAAAAAAAGAAAAAAAAGAATTGGATTCCTTCATGGTCAAAAATGGTTGAATCCATCCAGTGACTTGAAAATCATATTAGGTGTATATGTGTGATTGCCCAAAAACCTTAAAGAAGAATGCAGGAAAATGAATTTCGGTACATCCATCCACCTGAGTGATTATTTCTACTTCTCTACTCTCTGTCTCTCTCTTTCACTCTGCATATGCACTCTATGATAAAACATAAATAAAATAAATAAATATTGATGTCAACAAAAGTGATCTATTGTATATATCCAATGCAATACCTACCAAAATACTAATAGCATCTTAACAAAAATAGAGTAAATAATCAATACATTTTCTAAAATTATAAAAACTTTGTAGGACAATATAATTCTATATAAATAGAATAAAATTAGAGTCATCTCACTAACTCACTTCAAAATGTATTACAAAGCTATGATAATAAGCACTGCATGATACACACTCAAAAACAGATACAAAGACCAATGGAACAGAATACAAATTCTGGAAATAAACCCAGCAGCATAGAGTCAACTGATTTTTGACAAATGGCACAAGGCAATCTAGTGTACAAAAAAAGTCTTTTCAACAAAAATTGTGGTGAAGTTGGATATCCACTTAAAAGAAAATGAAACCAGACTCCAATTTCTCACCATTTACCAAAATGACTCAAAATGTGTTAAGCATGTAAACATAAAGGCCCAGTCATATAACTTCTTGACAGTGTCACTGATGAAGGACTTTAAGAAATTGGAACAGGCAAAGATTTCTTGAATAAGACCCCTAAAACAAGTGTAATAATGCTGAAAATAGACAAGGGGAATAATTATATAAAGCTAAAAAGCCTCTGCACAACAAATGAAACAGTAAATAAAGAGACAATTCAGAGAATAGGAGAAAATATTTTCAAACTATATTTTAGATAAGGGATTGACACACAAATATAAAAGGAATCCAAACAGCTCAGCTGGAACAAAACTAATAATCCAGGCAAAAATGGGTAATCAGTCCAAACAGACAACTGTCAAAGGAAAATATATAAATGGCTAAAATACATGGGCCATGGTGTGGTGGCCAAGCTGCTGGATCTCACATGGCAGATTCCACAGTTCAAGTCCTGGACCTGACAGTTTGAAAAACGTATTGGGTATGTGTGTACATGTTCAAAATCCTGACAGGAAAATGGAGGAGAAGGGATGACAGTGTGTCATTCCTCTTGGGGTGATCTCTCACTTTAGCTGTTTTGTATCTCTCTCTGGTGAGTGCACAAATACCGTAGCAAAAATCTAAATAAATAATAAATAAATACAGAAAAAGTTTATCAGCTCTTAACTGTAAGACACGTGTAATTCAAAACTGCAATAGAATATTCCCTATACAAGTCAGAATAAAAGGGAAAAAAAAAGAATAACAAATGCTGGCAAGGGTGTAGAGAAAAAGCATCCTTCATGTACTTCTGTACTTCTGGTGGTAGTGTAAATTAGTACAGACATTGTGAAAACCATCATGGAGACTTCTCAAATAGCTAAATAATAAAAACCTAAATAATGTGAAAAAACTCTCACTATTAGGTATTTACTCAAGTACAGGAATTCACTCAGTCAAAGAGACATTTGAACATCCATCTTTATTGCAGCATTATTGCAATAGCTAAGACATGAAATCAGTTCTAATAGCCCAACAACTGATGAATGTATTGGGATAATGTGACATATATACTTAGTGGAAAACCACTCAGTCGTGAAGAACAACAAAGTCTTGTCAATTGACATAGTGGGTAAACCTTGAAGACATAATCCTAAGTGAAATAAACCAGACTATGAGTGACAAAATACTACGTGTCCTAGTATAACACATGCTGAATGTCTGCACTGTATGGTAGAACCTGAACGACTTAAAAGCATAGAAATAGAGAGAAAGGGTAAATACTAGAAGGTACTTGGTATAACAGGTTAATGGGGAGAGGTAAAGAAATATCAAATGGACATCGAATGCACATAAATAAGGAGAATAGGCTAAGGGCTGATGAACCACAGCACAGAAAAAAAATGGACAAACTAATAAACACACAAAAAATAACACAGAACTTTACTATGGAGTGTCCCTGACATAAAGTAATGTTCAATAATAAAGAAAACAAATATGTATATATTTTTATTTATCTATTTTACACTATGCGTGTGCTTTAGAGAACCATAAAGTGGCCACTCCATAACATGGTAGTTAATTTTTTTTTTTAAAGAGCTTTTTGCAATAAGGCGCTTGCGCTCACAAGAAAGATAGAGAGAGACATAGAGACAGAAAGCAAGAAATCACCCCCCAGGAGGGGTGACCATGCTGCAATCCCTTCTCCTCCATTCTCCTCTCAGGATCTTGAACACACACTCAAACGCGCCTGGCGTGAGTGTAAGCCACCAGGTCCGAGAATTGAACCGCTGTCAACTATATGGGAGTTCAGTGACATAGCCATTATGCTAACTGCTGGTCCCAAATTGTTTGGATTCCATATGGTCAACTGGTGTTTAGAAATCCAGATCCAGTAGCTTGAGAAATATCCTGGAAACAAATGCATGTGCATATTCAAAGTCCAAAAACCAGGGACAAATGGAAGAGAATGGACTGTGTCCTGACCATTCTCTGTAAGGGAGACCTTTTTACCTCACTTCCCTCTCCCTTTCTATGTCTCTCAGTCAAGTGCACATGTCCTGTGACTAGATATATAACACAAATGAAAACATAAATACTATTTATCCCATTTGACATTATTTAGGCTTTTACTATTTAGTTGGTAAGTTTAAATAAACTTTTGAATGATAGCAAATGTTCAATTCATTTTATTTTGGTGGCTATGTTGTATAAAATACTCAAAAATTAAATTATTAAAAATTAAAGAATACTTCTAGGAGAAAGTACTGGGGTGAGTTTGTGGGCACCTGTATATAAAATAGCATTCTTCACTGATTCCTAGCTATGTTTAATGCATTTGTTTGTGTATTTTAACTCATAATTTAATAAAGATGATCCTGACTAAAACATGGGAAAGAAAGGAAATTAACTATTAAATGGCACATTGAGTTTTAAATCAAATGATCTGAGTATTTTCTATTAAAAACTTACATATAAAATATGAAATCTATGAAAAATTTAAACATTTATTGATAAATTTGACAGAAATATCTTTTGACACTGATTGAAAAGACAATAAATGAGAAAGTCACACGGAAAGAACTGAATAAAACTGGATGTCACACATTTTAGCTGAAACGTAGAGACAAAATAAATTCACTTCAATTTGTGTACACGTAGGGTTGGGGCTGGTGAGTATTTACAGCTGTATATAAAGGTACAAGAAACACATGAAACAATGAATAAGTAAAGAGCAAAATGCAAAACTGGGACTTGCCTTTTTCCTGCTTATACTTTTCTGAAAAGTGAAAAAAGAAACAGCAATTTATTGAAAGTGAAAACAGAACATGAGAAACATATGAGAAAAAAATATTTGAAATTCCTTTGCAGTTCATTCATTGGCACAAACTGAATCATATTTTTAAAATGTGGATCACAGAAAAGGCCATGCCAAAAGTCAGAAAATATGTTACACAGGTTCTATCTCTTGTTCAAAAGCAACTAAGGTTGGAAATGAACCTAAGAGAGATGGGAGAACAGCAATTCCTCTAGGAAGAACATCGTCCATTTTTATTCTGTTATGGGGGTGCTATCTTTTATTCAGGTTGAAAGGTAAACACACATGCAGACACAAGGCACATAGTAAAACTTAAAGAGAAAGAAAACTATAAAGCACCCTTCTGTTGTAGTTATCTAATGTCTAAACATACTTTGAAGAGATTTATTACTAAATTCCATCCTTTCTGAAATTAAAAATATGATTCAACATATCATTAGAAAAAAGCACAGCCTTATTTCAAATGAGTCTGTATTTAACTTTTGCCTAAAAGATACTCACTCATCTTGAGAAATCAAATTAAAGGAAGGAAAATCGAGTATTAATATGAAGAGAAAGAGACTTATATTAAATAATCTGAGTCTATCTTGAATAAAGTTACATATCAGTTACTCTGAAAATTAGAATAAATGAGAAATATACAATTAACAACATCTACTTGACTCCAAGAACCTGATTTTATCGATTGAAATTGCAAGATAAAAACCAATGATGTAAAAAGAGGGTAAATTCAATAACTAAGGAACATTTTTAATGCCAGTGGTAAAAAGCATAAGATGAAACAAAATGTGTGAAAATAGTGTATGCTGGTGTTGAAGATGCTTATGGAGCTGAAGAACAAGGTGTAAACCACTGATGGGACAATGACTAGAATGGTGAAGGCTGCCCACTGCTGCCAACTGCCATTTCACTCTTCCCATCACGTTGTAAAAAATAGTGTCTGAATAGGGAGATGAGGGTGCATGAGGGCGTCAGCTATGTGGGTATCTGGGGGAGGGTGCACCTGATAGAAGGAATGGCTCACAAAGAGGCTATTAGGTAGAACTAAGCTCAGTTCTGTTAGAGAAGCCATCTGGAGGCCACTGTGGAAGAGCAGGGTGAAGTGGACAACGATATAGATGACATCAGAGTGTTATTCACTCTTTCATAGTTTCTTTTGTGGTTCAAATAGACCCATATCTATGGAATCATATCATTCCAAAGTATTTTACCATTCAGAAGCCAGGTTATCCTAAAATATCCTACATTTTGGTATAAAAAGAATTAAGATTGGAATTGCACTATGACAGCAGGCAGAGTGGGACTCCCTCTGGTTTGACACTATTGATCAATCATCTTTTTCTTTGCGAGTTTCTCTTTTGAAAGTGAAATGCAAAGATGCATGCTTATATTAAAAGTGTCCATCTGTCCAACTCTAAATCTACCAGCAGTCATACAAAGACTTGCCATCATTAAGGATATTGTTCCCAAAAGTATATTCCCACTGAAAATGAAAATTATCTAAAATATGATTAGGAAAGAAAGTGGCTAAATCTTTTCATTTATTAAGGTTTTCAAAATACCTTTTAGCAATATCATTGGATAATAGCACTTGATGTTATTTGCATCAAATTAAAATGAGTTAATAGACTATCAATGAATTTTACTGAAGATATAAATTTATGCTACAACACTTTCAAAACATAACATTTTGCCAAGTATGTTACTGTGATAATAACTATTTAAGGAAAAATAACATTTATTGTGGTGAGAAAGAAAATGAGCTAAAAACACTTACCAAAAATATTTTAATAATTGTGAGTACTGTGGTCACATA